AGACACAAATGTATAGGAATTGCAAAAATTCAAATGAATTCATTGCAAACATATCTAAACAATAGAAAGCAATCATCCGTTCGGAAGACAATCTCTCGATAAATGCCATCACTTTTAACCGATCGGTCGGTGAGAGGACTGGTCTTCGGCTGAGATATGATAGTAAGAGTGGATACGGTTTATGGGCTGCTCTTGGGATCATTGAAAACCATATAAATGACATAATTATAAAATTTACATCAATTAAAAGTACAAAAAACATTATAATACGAAAGAATAGTGTAGTGTTGTTGTGATGTAAGGAATAAATGCATAATTCAATGCCAAGGGATGCCAAATAATAGGCGATGAAAATCACAATTTTGATAGTATCGTTAAAATATGCGACCCATTGCTCGTAATAGTGGTGTTCATCGATAGCTCTTAATAATAAATGTTTATTATTATACTTAATACTCAATACAATCGTATCGTTAATCTTAAGAAATTTGTATTTCAAATAAGAGATATTTATAAATACTATATTACAGATTACCCAAAGGGTCCCAAAACACTCAACGGTTGTAATTATAAAAAAAATAATACCAATGATAGCGAGTATTGTCTTAATTAACATAATGTTATCAAAGATCCGATAAATTGCTACTACAAAAGCCATCGCAGAGGCAATGATCGTAAGAATTAAACACATTATGCCTAATAGACGTCTGACTAGACTTGATCTGACACTTATCATCGCTTCCCTCCGACCACTCAATGGATATTTAAGTCTTTTATTAAGCAATAAATGCATAAATTTTATAACATGTAAAATATTTCTTCTCTCGTGATATGTAACACACGTTTCAATAGATATAATACAAAAAACTAAAATTAGAAATTGTGTACCGATTAAAACTTTATCACCAAAATAATCAATAGCATCGCCAATCAGGACATCAACAAATGGATTATTGACGTATGTTAGAAATATTCCAGTACATATAAAGCCAGCCAGGCACAACTTAACAAATATAAACCATATAAGTCTACGCCGAGTATAATAACCAGTAATTATATCACTGATAGTTGTCGATAGAGTAATGCAAAAAAATTTATTCATATTTTCAAATTTTATTAACTCTTCACTCAATGAGCGGTTATTTTCATTATAATTGTTTAATTTATCTCTTGCTCTGGATTTGAATGCAAACATCTGTTCTGCTATTGAATCCATTATTATATTATTTTGCAAATTAATTGCAACTCAAATAATACTTATTATGACTGAAACTATGGAATTATATAAATTTATGAATAATATAAAAGTACTGTAATTGTGTGGATATGGATCGGACTCTTAAACGTTTAGAACCTAACATTATTTGACATTTCATTTGTCAATGCATTTATGTGTATGAAATCACTGCTAATTGAAAATCAATAAATGACTTAAAATAAATACATTTTATTATAAATTAAGACACAAAATATATAGTTTATTAAAACTATAAATATAATATAAAATCATCACATACTGTATTTGCAAAATAATAAATACTTATAAAGTATATAAGTACTTAAATAAGTACTTATAACTTATTGGCTCAAATGGAACTCTCGTAGCCTATAATTCTATTCAGCTTTTCTAATGAAGATATAATTATGAATTATAAAATCAAATGTCATTATTTAAGTTTACATTCTTAGGCACCAAATACAACCTTTCATAAAGATTGAGATGAATTCCTGTGTCTTATATATTAATACAATTTTTATGAAACTTGGTTACTTCTGCTAAATGTTATCTTAAATAATAATATCATTTTCATAATTCTATCTTTACTAAAAAGATAAGTAGTCTACATTGTTTTAATTTTAGCTAAAAGTTTATAAGAAATAAGTTCAAGTTTAAGTTTTAAGTTACTTATTTATTTGTTTCGTAATTATGTTATAATATTATTTATTGATTTTCAATTAGCATTAATTTAATACATTTGAATGTTATAAATATTTTTTAGTATTTAAAATGAAATGTTTTTTGTTTTCTATTAATCATTGATTTGTAATTATGCCCAAAGATGTACGCAATGAGAATAATATAAATGTCAAATATATTATAAAACTATTAATTATGAAACTATTAATTTATATTTTTATTTTGTTTCAATTGTTCAAATAAAATGAAAGTTATTTTAAAATTAAATACAAATGCAATTCGTTTTTATAACAATTAATTCGGTGTCAAAACTAATAACAATTCATATGAATTGTTTGTCAAATTGGAGCTTTATTTAATAATAAATGTATTTATAAATTATAATGATTATTTATAACCATTTGATATAAGTCAATTTAGAAATGTAAAAGAGATGTTTCTAATACAACATTTATAATACTTTTAATTAAAGTAATTTTAATTATAATACTTTACATAATAATTAGTGTTTTGGTATCCAATCAATAATTGATTTTGCAATTAATATGAATTACTTATAATATTATAATGACAATAATGAAATACAAATATTACAAATAAGTAAATAGAGTACAAATAAATTACAACTTATTATTACAAACAAATTATGAAAATAAAGTACAAATAAATAAATGTGTGTTTAGATTTGTCATTAATTATAATTCAAAAATTTGGTGAAGAAGTATATAATTGGAGGCATAAAATGAATGGCTTTGATATGGGTGATCACTAGCGTTGCCAAACATACAGGAACTTCCTGTATTATACAGGAATTAAGGAATTTTTGCAGAATACAGGAAGGGGTAATTCCTGTACATTGCAAAATACAGGATAAATATTTCTAAAATTAGTTGTAAATTTAGTAGTTTTGATTAAGTCTTGATACACTGTCTCGGCATATTGCTGAAATTCGTTTCAAAACAACGTTTAATATTTGTTTTTAATGATTGAATTTATTTTAACGTGAAATTATAATGTGTTAATAAACAAAATCCTGTATTAATAATGAGTCCTTTGAATATAACCCCATTAAACATAAATTTCATTAAAGGATATGTAAAAGAAAAATTTGTGATACAGGAAAATACAGGAATTTTTAGCAAATTTTTCACATTTATACAGGATTTTCAAAATATCATTTGGCAACGCTAGTGATCACCATATTAATTTATAACTAGCCTATTCCCGGCCTTTTCCCATCTCAGATTTACAGTTTTCGTTTAACCCTTATTTACTGTACATTTTTCACAACACTTTTCATATATTTGTACCTATTTTTTAAATTTTAAAAACTCTCAATTAATTAATGATGATGTAATTGAGAAATGTAATTGTTACAGGATATCGTGTGATATCATCATGTTATTATGGTGGGATAATTATTAACTTGTTGGATTTTAATAAACTTTTATACTTTTAAGTATTTAAAGTTAAATATATAATTTAATAATCTGTAAACATTTAATAAATTATATAATTATTAAAATTAAAAATCCATCAAACTTAACATTAAATGTTTCCCAGGTTTTCCAGAAAAAATTGTGGTCATTTAAGGTATAAAAAAAAGTAATGATTTACAATATAGATATTTTTATAAACTAATTACAGTAATCACTTTGTATATTGTATATACATATACAAAAATTTTTGTGATCAAATAATTGTTATAATAATTAAAATTTACATCAATTATAAATATTTTTTTATTTTGTTCAGTTTTATTGTTTGTATTTATAAATCAAAACAGTGTAATCAAAAGCATATAATTCGAGCCACAAATGTATAAGAATTGGTAAAATTCAAATGAATTCATTGCAAACATATCTAAACAATAGAAAGCAATCATCCGTTCGGAAGACAATCTCTCAATAAATGCCATCACTTTTAACCGATGCGTCGGTGAGAGGACTGGTCTTCGGCTGAGATATGATATCAATATTGAATATGGTTTATGGGCTGCTCTTGGGATCATTGAAAGCCATATAAATGACATAACTGGAAAATTTAAATCAATTAAAAGTACAAAAAACATTATAATACGAAACATCAGTGTAGTGTTGTTGTGATGTAAGGAATAAATGCATAATTCAATGCCAAGGGATGCCAAATAATAAGCGATGAAAACCACAATTTTTATGGTATCGTTAAAATATGCGACCCATTGCTCGTAATAGTGGTGTTCATCAATAGCTCTTAATAATAAATGATTATTATTATACTTAATACTCAATACAATTGTATCGTTAATCTCAAGAAATTTGTATTTCAAATAAGAGATGTTTATAAATACTATATTACAGATCACCCAAAGGGCCCCAAAACACTCAACGGTTGTAATTATAAAAAAAATAATACCAATGATAGCGAGTATTGTCTTAATTAACATAATGTTATCAAAGATCCGATATAGTGCTACTACAATAGCCATCGCAGAACCAATGATTGAAAGAATTATACAAATTATGCCTAATAGACGTCTGAATAGACTTGATCTGACACTTATCATCGCTTCCCTCCGACCACTCAATGGATATTTAAGCCTTTTATTAAGCAATAAATGCATAAATTTTATAACTTGTAAAATATTTCTTCTCTCGTGATATGTGACACACGTCTCAATAGATATAATACAAAAAACTAAAATTAGAAATTGTGTACCGATTAAAACTTTATCACCAAAATAATCAATAGCATCGCCCACCAGGACATCAACAAATGGATTATTGACGTATGTTAGAAATATTCCAGAACATATAAAGCCAGCCAGGCACAACTTTACAAATATAAACCATATAAGTCTACGTCGAGTATAATAACCGGTAATCATATCACCGATAGTTGTCGATAGAGTAATGCAGAAAAATTTATTCATATTTTGAAATTTTGTTATCTCTTCACTCAATGATCGGTTATTTTCTTTATAATTGTTTAATTTATCTCTTGTTTTGGATTTGAATGCAAACATCTGTTCTGCCATTGAATCCATTATTATATTATTTTGCAAATTAATTATTTAAAGGATTGTAATTTAAAAATACTTATTATGACTGGTATTATATAAAACTATAGAATTATATATTACGATGATTGTTTTAAATCATATATAAATACTGTAAATAAGTGTATTGTGTGGATACGGATCGGTCTCTTAGACTTCTAGAAACTAAATCAACATTATTTGACATTTCATTTGTCAATATAAATAGCATTTATTTATGAAATCACTGTTAATTGAAAATCAATAAATGATCGAAAACTAAATATATTTTATTATTAATACATGTACATAGTTTATTAGATACAATGACACGAAATATATTGTTTATTAGAATTATAATAAAATTTTATAAAACCATAACATAATTGCAAAATACTTCTATACTATTTGCTCAAACTTTACTTATTTCTTTATTTGGTAATTATATTATGATATTATTTATTGATTTTCAATTAGAATTGATTCATACATTTGGATGTTATAAATGTTTGTTAGTATTTAAAATGAAATGTGTTTTTGTTTTTTTAATCAATCATTGACTTATAATTATGCCCAAAGATATACGCAATGAGAATATAAAAATAATATTAATGTTTTTCTAACGTAATGTCAAATATATCAATATTATGCCTATTAATTTATATTTATACAGTAGACATTCGGTTTTAACATAACATTTTGTGAACACCGGCAAGTTCTATGCACATTTTAATGTTAAATAACTCGATTTTAACAGATTTCGATTTTAACAGTGAAATATCACTGGCAGTATCGCATAATTCGATCCTGCACATTGTATGTCAAAAAAACTAATATCATTAATTACAAATTACATTAATTATTTGTCATTCTTTTTATGGAATAAATTTTAATACAATTGATTATTTATTTAAATTTAAATCTTGGTAGAATAATCAGATGCTAAATAATTAATTAATTGCAAATGAATTTTTCATTATTTGATAACTTATTTATTACATATTTTTCACGTATTTAAAAATAATTTGCTAGACAAATAAAATATGAACAGTATAAATTCATTTTGAAAACCTACTATTTGGCAATTATGATCAATTAAAATACCTTTACATGCAATGACTGATTATCTAATATTTATTATCAAGTGCATTGTGTTTATTTACAAGGATACAAGTAGTTAGACAGCTAATTGAACAGAATGTCCCTGATAACCTTGAAAACTAGTATAAAAACAATGTTTATGAATAAGTTATGTATTATATCTCTTGAAATATCAATTGTATTGAATAGTATTTCTGATTTCTAAATATATTGATAAAATGCTTGAAATATTAGAGTTAATATTTTCCTACTCACTAATAAAGTGGTCATTCATTCTCACCACATGTCTATTGGTCACAGTATTAGCGATTTACAGGTAATTAAATCATAGATTTTCTCATCTATTGTATAATTTTGAAAATGATAAATTTAATGCTTATAATTGAAATGAAATCAAACCAATAGATATGTGTCCTCTCAGTGCACGTATTGGGAGACACAGGGAGTGAAGACCGTAAGCGTTGGTCTATTGACGAGATTCACGAAACAATGGCACGAATGGGAACACGAGTTGTGTAAACGAAACGGTAAAATATTTGGGATTTACGAAATGACAAAACCCGTACTCTTTGTGTCGGACCCGGACTTGATTCGTGACATTTTGGTCAAAGACTTTCATATATTCAATAATCGACGGGTATATGAAAATTATGATTGCGATTGACATTCAATTCGTAATAATTAATTTAATTTGTAAACTGTTTGCTCCAAAACAGGACTTTAGTACCGGAGTTGAGCCGCTGTTGGATAATATGCTTACTGTTGTGAAAGACGAACAGTGGAAGAAAATACGGTCAATAATGTCGCCGACATTCTCGACGGGAAAACTGAAAAAAATGATGCCTTTGATAGTCGAGTGTCGGAACAGTTTGTTCAACAATTTGGACAAAATCGCCAAAACTGATGGACAGACAGATATGAAGAGACTATTGGGCGCATACGCTATGGAAGTGGTAATACAAGTGGCTTTTGGCACAAAAGTGGACGCATTGTTTGATGAAAACAACCCGATTATAGTAAATGCGCGCAAAGTATTTGGCCAAAATATAAACCCGAAATTAATTCTAGTTTTATTTGCGCCAAAATTGGCTAAATTATTGAAAATCTCTCCGTTTGACAAAAAAGTTATGAATTTTTTCAAAGATTTAACGCTTAATATAATTGAAGAAAGAAAACGAAATAACGATAGCGTTAAGAGAATAGACTTTTTGCAATTAATGTTGGATTCAATGCAAAACAATATTACTCTCGACAGCGAAGAGAATAAAGACAACGATCACGAAAAGTACAAAGAAATACAGGCAACCGATGATATCGACAAAAGTATTATCAATTACTAATCTCTCTCTCTCTCTCTCTCTCTCTCTCTCTGTTTATGAATTAAATTGCTAACTAATTGTGACATTTAAACAGCGCTCACATCCGACGAATTGGTGGCCCAATGCGTGCTTTTCTTTTTGGCCGGTTATGAGACGTCCGCCACAACAATGTCTCTGTGTTTACACCAAATCGCAAAACATCCAGAAGTGCAGCAAAAACTATATCTTGAATCGAAAAAATATTTCGATGAATACGTGAGTTATTTACCATAAAATTATTAAAACTATTTTCGTTAACAAAAATGACTGTTTAATCCATACAGAAAGGCGTCGATTACGATGAGTTAAATTCGCTGAAATATTTAAACGCCGTTATAATGGAAACCCAACGCCTACTGCCGGCCGCCCTCTTCTTGGAAAGGGTTCCCAATGAAGACTACGAGTTGAGGGGCACCGGAATCACCATTAAAAAGGGTCATATCGTTCACATCCCGTTGTATGCCATGCAAAGAGATGCCGACAACTTCGCCGACCCGGAAGTGTTTAGACCGGAGAGGTTTTTGCCGGAAAACATAGCACACCATCCGTACGCATACCTGCCGTTCGGCGCCGGACCTCGAAATTGCATTGGTATGCGTTTGGCGCAAATGGAGGTCAGGTTAGGTCTCATATCACTCGCCAATCGATATCGCTTCTATCCCTCAGAGGTTTGTTTGCCATATATTTGTTGTATAAAATGTGTTTAGTTAGTCTATGTATGAAATTTGTTTTTAATCGTGTGCTAAATATTGTTATCCCAGAAACCATTGGAATTTTTTACCTCTGGAGGCGGAATGATTCCCAAAACTGTGATGGTCAAAATGGAGAGACGCGCGTGAATTTATTCTCACCATATTAATTTATAACTAGGCTATTGCCAATTTATAACAGATCGTTCCCATCTCAGATTTACTGTGCATTTTTCACAAAACTTTTCATATGTTTGTCCCTATTTTCTAAATTAAAAAATTCTAGATTAATTAATTGCTGTATTAATTTATATAATAGATGGCGAGGTTGTTTTAAAATAAATCATTTGTATAATTGTTACAGAATATTATGTGATCATCATCATGCTATTAGAGTTAATATACATGTACTTAAATTATTAACTTAAAGAAATTTAATAAACTTTTATACTATTAAGTATTTGAAGTTCAATAATTTATATAATTTAAGATTTTGTAAATAAAATTTAATACATTTTATAATTATTGAAATTACAAATCCATCAAAGTAAACATTAAATGTTTCCCAAGTTAGCCCGAGAAAATTGTGGTCACTTTAGGATATAACACAAAATTAATTACAGTAATACATATATACTGACATTTTTGTGTAAAATAATGGCTTAAATATTTTAAAATCTAAATCAATTACAAATATTTTTTATTATGTTTAATTTTTTTGTATTTATAAATCAAAACATTGTAATCAAAAGCAAATAATTCAAGCTACAAATGTATATGAATTGTGAGAATTCATATGAATTCATTGCAAACATATCTAAACAATAGAAAGCAATCATCCGTTCGGAAGACAATCTCTCGATAAATGCCATCACTTTTAACCGATCGGTCGGTGAGAGGACTGGTCTTCGGCTGAGATATGATATCAATATTGAATATGGTTTATGGGCTGCTCTCGGGATCATTGAAAACCATATAAATGACGTAATCATAAAATTTAAATCAATTAAAACTACAAAAAACATGATTATACGAAACATTGGTGTAGTTTTGTTGTGATGTAAAGAATAAATACATAATTCAATGCCAACGGATCCCATATAATAAGCGATGAAAATTACAATTTTCATCGTATCGTTAAAATATGCGACCCATTGCTCGTAATAGTGGTGTTCAGCCATAGCTCTTAATAATAAATGATTATTATTATACTTTATACTCAATACAATCGTATTAGTAATCTTAAGAAATTTGTATTTCAAATAAGAGATGTTTATAAATACTATATAACAGATTACCCAAAGTGTACCAAAACAGTCCACTGTTGCAACTATAAACAGAATGATACCAATGATAGCGAGTATTGTTTTAATTAACAAAATGTGATCAAAGATCCGATAAATTGCTGCTACAAAAGCTATCGCAGAGCCAATGATAACAAGAATTATACACATTATGCCTAATATACGTCTGACTAGACTTGATCTGACACTTATCATCGCTTCCCTCCGACCACTTAATGCATATTTAAGTTTTTTATTAAGCAATAAATGCATAAATTTTCCGATATAATAGACACCGATTCTCTCGTGATATGTAATACACATTTCAATACATATAATACAAAATGTTATAATCAGAAATTGTGTACCGATTAAAACTTTATCACCAAAATAATCCATAGTATTGCCAATTAGGACATAAATAAATGGATTATCGACGTATGTTAGAACTATTCCGGTAAACATAAAGCCAACCATGCACAATTTTACAAATACAAACCATATAAGTCTACGCCGAGTATAATAACCAGTAGTCATATCACCGAAAGTTGTCGATAGAGTAATGCAAAAATATTGAAGAAATTTTTCAAATTTTACTAACTCTTCACTCAATGAGCAGTTATTGTCTTTATAATTGTTTAATTTATATCGAAACATCTGTTCTGCCATTGAATTCATTATAATATTATTTTGCAAATTAATTATTTAAACGATTGTAATTTAAAAATACTTATTATGACTGAAACTATAGAATTATATAATTTGGAGATTTTTTAAATCATATCAAAGTACTGTAAATAAGTGTATTATATGTGGATAAGGATCGGACTCTTAGACGTCTAAAATAAACTTCTTTAAAAACTAAACTAACATTATTTGACAATTCATTTGTTAAGACAAATAACATTTATGTATGAAATCACTGCTAATTGAAAATCAATAAATGATCGAAAATATATTTTATTATAAATTAAAACACAAAATATATAGTTTATTAGAACTATAAATATAATATAAAATCATCACATAATTACGAAACATAGAAATAAGTACTTATAAACTATTCGCTCAAATGAAACTCTAGTGGCCCAAAGTTTTCATATATTTGTACCTATTTTTTCGTAATTGTGTAACTACGTAAGTGTAACTAATAACTTTAAAAACTCTAGATTAATTAATGATGATATAATTGAGAAATGTAATTGTTACAAGATGTTATGTGATATCATCATGGTGGGATGTTGACTTATTAATTTAAATTGAATTTTAATAAACTATTATGCTTTTAAGTATTTGAAGTTAAATATATAATCTAATAAATTATTAATAATAATATGTAAAAATTTAATATATTATGTAATTATTGAAATTAAAAATCCATAAAAATAAGCATTAAATGTTTTCCAGGTTTTCCCTAGATAATTGTGGTCACTTTATAGAACAACAAAAAAGGTAATGCTTTAATATTAAAGTTTTAGTGCATTTATGAACTAATTACAATAATCACTCTTTACATATACAAAAATTGTACTGACATTTTGTGGTCTTATAAGTTAATTGTTAAAATAATTAAATATCTACATCAGTTATTAATATTTTTTTATTGTGTTATTTTTTGTATTTATAAATTAAAACATTGTAATCAAAAGAATATAATTAGTGCAACAAATGTATAAAAATTGAAAAAATTCAAATGAAGTAATTGGAAACATATCATAACAATAGAAAGCAATTATCCTTTCAGAAGACAACCTCTCGATAAATGCCATCACTTTTAACCGATCGGTCGGTGAGAGGACTGGTCTTCGGCTGAGATATGATAATAACTGTGGATATGGTTTATGGGCTGCTCTCGAGATCATTGAAAGCCATACAAATGACATAATTATAAAATTTACATCAATTAATACTATAAAAAACATTATAATACGAAACAATAGTGTGGTCTTGTTGTGATGTAAGGAATAAATACGTAATTCAATGCCAACGGATCCTAAATAATAGGCGATGAAAACCACAATTTTTATCGTATTGTTAAAATCTACGACCCATTGCACGTAGTAATGGTGTTCATCGATAGCTCTTAATAATAAATGTTTAATATTATACTTAATACTCAATACAATCGTATCATTAATCTTAAGATATTTGTATTTTAAATAAGAAATGTTTACAAATACTAGATTACAGATCAACCAAACTGAACCAAAACACTCAACGGTTGTAATTATAAAAAGAATAAAACCAATGATTGCGAGTATTGTCTTAATTAATATAATGTTATTAAAGATCCGATAAATTGCTACTACAAAAGCAATCGCAGTGGTAATGATCACAAGAGTTATACAAATTATGCCTAATAGACGTCTGACTAGACTTGATCTGACACTTATCATCGCTTCCCTCCGACCACTCAATGGATATTTAAGTCTTTTATTAAGCAATAAATGCATAAATTCTATAACATGTAAAACACCTCTTCTCTCGTGATATGTAACACACGTTTCAATACATATAATACAAAAAACCAAAATTAGAAATTGTGTACCGATTAAAACTTTATCACCCAAATAATCAATTGCATCACCAATCAAGATATCAACAAATGGATTATTGACGTATGTTAGAAATATTCCAGTACACATAAAGCCAACCATGCACAATTTTACAAATACAAACCATATACTGTAAGTCTACGTCGAGTATAATAACCAGTAGTCATATCACCAAACGTTGTCGATAGAGTAATGCAAAAAAATTGATACACTTTTTCAAATTTTTGTAACTCTTGACTCAATGATTGGTTATTTTTCTTATACCGTAAAATCGTGGCTATTACCCGCGGGTTATCTGATGAAAAAAGTCATATTTTTGGGAAATAACTCAGTGCGGGTTATCTGCAAAGTGCGGGTTATGTGATGTCTCAAAATGAGAAATTCTTATTTTTTTAAATTCAAAATTCAATAAAGATATAATATTACAGTACATTCTGTTTCAGTTATATGTCCCTATTCTATGGTAGTTATAATTTATATAATTTAGCCATATTATTAAGTATTTTTCCTACCAATAATTAGTTGAATTTAAAGGCAAATAATACATGTTTAATTTGGTATACCATACATATTTATAGATAAACCCTATGTTTACTAGGATTGATTTTATTGCCAAAATATCAAATTTAAAACATTATGAATTTTATGGCTGAATATAGTAGTTGTAGATGGATAATACTAATTCATCAGAATAATTATTATGTATATTTTGTTAATTTAACATAATATTTTATTTACCATTAGTATTTACCATAATTATTGGTGATTTTATTTAAAAATTAGTCTTTTCCATAGGATTTCATTGAATAATTCACAAAGATGTAAATATTTCAAAATAGTTTAAATATTGCCGTTGAAATTAATTATTGAGTATCAGAATATAAAGTATAGTTTTTACTTATTTGATTAATTATTGTGACAAAACCAGAGTTTATTAAAATTGGTCTACAGATGCCAGACCTTATTAAAATTTTGTAATCATATAATGGTTTTCTATTTAAAAACACAGTAGGGACGTATATCGGGATATCGTATACAGTATATCGGGACAGGTTGTATATATTATTTAAATCCATCAAAATCAGAATCGGAAAACGCAGGTTTTAAAATACAGTATCACATTTTTGCGGGTTATATGTGAAGTGCGGGTTATCTGTGAATTGCCTTTTATTTTAAAATATTTGCACTTTTTGTTAGTGCGGGTTATACGCGACTGCGGGTAATAGGCACGATTTTACGGTAATTGTTTAATTTGGTTCTTGTTCTGGATTTGAATGCAAACATCTTTCCTATCATTGAATCCATTATTATATTATTTTGCGAAT